TAATTGAGCATTTTTTATCGGCGTCACTAGGTATTATTCGAGTTCAGATAAAAAGCCAGGAATTAGAAAGCTGATTTTCAAGGCAGGCGGGTGCCCTCGAACCCAACACAATTTTCCTACCGTCTATTTTGAAAATGAAAGTTTTTTTTTTCTGTATGGTCAATTTGTAGTTTTGGGGGTGTTAAGTACAATATATTTTTGCTATTCGTGTAACTACCACATATCGCATATCTTATGAATATGTAAAAGGGTTCCCTGAAACGCTTTCAATCCGAGCTTGATATATGCATACACACACACAAGATAAATTTCTAAGGAATTGATAGATTTATTTTTAATCCGACATTTTTTATTATTTCAAACGTTATTACAGTGAATGCTTCGTATTTGAAATAGACGCCACATTTTTATTTATTAAGCAGTGTGTATTACATCTATCGGCCAGAACATACGAGAAATCTTATTAAAGAAAATACATTATTTGACAGTGATCGAACCTGCACCCCTTGTAGGGGAAACTACTGTTTGATCCAGTGTGCTATACCGCATGGCCATGAAGAAGGTCACTGTATGCAAGGTCCTATTTTCCTCCTTTTAAGTCAAGCACGTGCCATTTACTCAGATTATTTTATCGAAAGTTTCATATCTGCTCAGTTTCGCATCCGACTATATGTAAATTTAGGTCGCAAGATTTCATTTAAACAAACATTTTGAAATTCAAACGACAAGGTCGGTTTCATTTCTTATTGTATTTTTTCGAAAACGTTAGATATCCAAATCAAAATAGTTTCGGATAAACTGTCCAAAGTTCATGTTTTTTTATTGGCCTTACTCATTATCAGAAACTGAATGTGGTTAATATGGCAGACAAGACTGCGCATGACGTCACTTCTTGAGACGTGTATTTACGAATCAATTTAGGACGTAACGCAACAAAATCTTTTCTATTATATTGGCAACACTAAGTTACTGATAATGACTGAGACGGTGGAAAATACCAAAAACTGAACATAAACATGAACCTTGTACAATTTATGCACGATTTTGATGTATTTATTTGAAAATTAGAAAAATACACTAAAAAAATTATAGATCTTGTCAACTGACATTAACAATAGGCACATACACACGTGTGTATGTGTGTGTGTGTGTATATATATATATATTTAGGCAGCATATCTTCATTCAAACATGATTCATTGAACAATATAGAAATTGTGTCTTATTTTCATACTGTTCCTTTCCAGTTTTCTAATCAGTTTATTGATGTTAAGATGAAATTCTTCAAGGAAGGTGAATTGATGAATTTCATACTAACACCAAGAAACTGATTAGACAACTGAAATGATTAGTATAAAAATAAGTAGACACGATATGTCTATATTATTCAATGAAAAACGCACACACATTATATATATATATATATATATATATATATATATATATATATATATGTGTGTGTGTGTGTGTCAGTTATGTGCCATTCGTGATACACGCTTAGGAAATCATGTCTGACGAGGCAGATTTTTTTTCCGCAGTAAGTTGCCATTACTTTTTTGCGGTAGACCAGTTGCCATCCAAGACTATAGAAGGCTTATAGAACCCGGTTTGTCCTGCTATTTACCCATAACTGGGGTGGGGGGGAGAAGAGGATTCCTATATTTCCCAATGGTATTATCACCTAAGTGAATATAATGGATTCGACTCCGATTCCTCTATCCGTACCGTATTTAATTCTGTAGTATTTAATCTTTAAGGTTTTTGATTTAACTTTCAGATAATAACCAAAGATAGTGTAGTATTTATTTTTGCAACATTCAGGATAACCTATTAAAAAATACGAGAAGTGTGATAAGTGCTAGTAAAAAAGAAAAGAAAAGTGAAAATTACGGTAGACGATAAAAAAAAAAAAAAAAAAGAATGAAAATAATAAGTAAAAGAAAGTCAGAATAAATAAAACAAAATTCCGGATGAAAATGAGCTGAATGTGAAATCTGAAACTAAACAGGTCATCTCCATTTTTGGAGATAAGAAAACGTAAGCAATGTGCACAAGGGATGTATGCGCGCGGGTAAGTTCCTTTGATGGCGGACGCATATATTTTCTTGTGTCTTAGTGTATCTCTGTCTTTAGGTATGTTTTATCGTCTGTCTCTGCGTGTGTTTGTACATTTGTGTATTTATAGATACTGGCTGACAGCTAGGCATACACGATGTGTTGTCATGCGGATGAAGAACTTAGTATTTTTGTTTGGTTTTGGGTTTTTATTCTTTTATAACTTCCTTCCGTTTCTTTTACTCACTAGCTTCCTTCTTCTCTTTCCTCTTCATCGTTCTTTCTATGATAATCAGTTCGAAATACTGTGCCCCCTAAATTCTTACTTCTTCCTTTTAATTTCTAATTCAGCTGCACTACCACCATCACCATTTTCTTTTACTTCATCATCATCATCATCATTCAAATTCTTTTATCAAGTCGTGCCCATGATAAAAAAAAAATGAACAAGACTTAGAACCGCACTAAAAAAGACCAGAGACGAGATTCGAGATCCGGGGGAAGATTAATATGGTTCAGGCCGAAGCACAAGCTTCCCTCCAATTCTCTTCTTCCAAACCAACCATTTGGTCTTATATTTTACCAAACTAATGGTGGAGTAATGGATAGCGGCTCGGAGGAATCGGAGAGCCGAGTTCGAATTCCAGTCGAATCCATTTCATTGACTTACGTGCTTGGGAGAGGTATGAATCATCTTCTCCCACCAGCTATGGGTAAATAGCAAGACAGGCCGGGTTCCATAGCCTTGGATGTCAACTGGTCTACCGCAGAAAGAAAGAAATGGCAACCTACTACGGGAAAAAATCTGCCTCGTCAGTCATGTATCGAAAGATGCATGATCGCCTAGGCGTGTATCCCATATGGCATCTAACTGACTGAATTTTAGCAAATGTCAAAGGGTGTGCAGATAATGCAACGACTTAGAAAGAGAAATCTGCAGGTCGAATTCGTTACATTCACTTTCGCATAAATACCCTTTGGCAAAAGGTATGAATCCATCTCTTCTCTTTAAGCTATAAGCTTCATATGAGGATATACTGGACTTTATAGGCATGGTTGGCAATCAGTCTAGGAGAAGGACAACACCGATTTCAGGCCCGACTTGAATATGTTGTCCTGGTGATACACATATAATACAGCTTCGGGTGGATAGGGAATAGTTTTTGATCTATTTCGTGACGGGGGTAGTTGGGTAATTTGTACAGATGTCAGCAGTTGGTGTTCAAAACTAAGGACCTAGATTTTCAAAGTAGACTGACCCTCCCCACTTTACGGATTGGCGTAATGCAATCTTCCCCTTTTGCATCTGGCACCGTGTCTCTTATTAAGCTAAACTTAGCCAAAATGTAACGGTAATAGTAATATAAACCGTTTCCTTATATGGAAACATTCGGTATTTATTAACCAAACAGCGAGTGCTACTGTCGGTTGAAATTTATTAAGTCATTTTCTTAAAGCAATTTTTCAGGAAAATAGGTTTCTCAAGTCCACTAACGGTTATCGCCCTTTCTGGTATTGATGGGGATTTCTTTCCTAACCTTTTGTTTAAAGTGGTGTGGAACGTCAACATCTTAATTGTGTCATTATTTTCTCTTCGAAGTGCTAGCCATTTTAGTTCTATCTGCTGTTGAAAATCCTCAAGTGATGTAGATTCTGTAGCGCCAGTCTACGAGGTTCGAAGAAGGTTGGTTCTATCTAAGACCTACAAGCTTCATTCGCTTTGAAGCAATTTCTAATCATTAAAAAGAAGTAACTGAATTAAATATAATATATATAGCAGTTCCTATCTCTCTCTCTCTATATATATATATATATATATATGTGTGTGTGTGTGTGTGTGTGTTCTTTTAAAGGTTTTTCTTCAGATTAACAACTGTACAGTCATCTGATTGAACGAAACGTTGTCGTAGATTTCAATGTGAGAATCGGTGAAGCGATCAGTTTATCTCCTTTTTGTAAGGTCTGAAGCAGAAATAAAGAATTTTACTCGGTAAAATATGTTACATAAAAACATTAACTTAAATCTAGCGCAGAGTTTCAACAGTCAGACACTCAGTGAGGAGCAAATTCTCTCGACATGTAAATAGAATAAAACGGAGTTACATCTTGGCTTTAAAGAGTTAATTCTTAAGAAGTTCCTATATTTTCTTTACACTTGCATTCACTTAGGTGCCTCGCCATGAACTATTACCAGTAATTGTCTGGTAGGCCATTACTGCCGAGTAGTGAGTTAGATCCTTACAGAGTGACTTGTACTTCCGGTCCTGTATCAAAATTAAACTTAGCTGGGTAAATATCTAAATTCTTGCCATTATAATATTTGGTAACTAACATAAATTTTACAAAGATACAAATATAGATTGCACAAGTGGCAAAAATAACGAACGTCTTAGTTTATTTTAATTTTATTAAGAGCTACAAAGGACAGAAAGTTGTTTAGAGCCATTGTTGCATTAAATATTTGTATCTATAAAAAGAACGTATAAACATAAAAATGTCTTAAATAATTGTCAGACTTTGTCCATTTCATAATGTATGACGTCATTTGTTTACATTTGGATACGCATTGAGCAGATATGAATGAATGAGAGAAAATCATGGAGAATTGTGTTTAAAAACAGTAAAATTGACCTTGCTAACAGAACGGCCCAATCGGTTAAGGCACGTCAGGCTATATGACGGTTCCGTATAGGATACATGTTCGATTCCTGTCGGAGGACGCATATTTTCTATGAAAATTTCTCAGACATTCAGGCCGGTAAATGTTGTTAATACAGTTTATTATAAACAGAGCATTTACTTAATTATTTGTATCTATAAAAAGAACGTATAAACATAAATGCCTTAAATAATTGTCGGACTTTGTCTATTTCATTATATATATATATGTATGAATTTTCTTTTTCAGATATATTAAAAAAGTTTTCCTTAACCTCCTTTTCCAGTACGAACATTCACCTTACCATCAATTGCTCCTGCCGCCGCGAAATACAGTGAAAGTAAAGATCATCACAAAGTAACCGCCTACTAAAAAGAAGCTGGCAATCATAGTATTTTTTTTTTAAAAAAAAGACACCATATTTCCAAAGACTGTAAAATTTGTTTCAACTCTGATTTTGTTACTAACTTTCATTGGTGCCATTTTGAACGCCTTTCGAAGGATAAAGTGAAAATTTGGAGAAAAGTTGAAATTAAAAGTAGCAGTCTTTGTTTTATATATATATATATATATATATATATATATATATATATATATATATATATATCTTATTATAATTTATGAAAATTATTATAATTTATCATTACTAGTGTTGCCAAAACGGTTGATATTTCTCATATATTTTAATTTTATTTTATAACGGCCACAAATCTTCTTAAGCCGACTTTTGCAAAACGACATATCAAATCTTTAACACCTGATATGGTATACATCTAAAAGAAAAGCATTTAACTTAACATACAGAGAAATTGTCTTTAAAAATAAATACAAAAAAACAAAAAAAAATGATTCCATGAATCAAATACTGATTAGCTGCTCCTCTTTTTTATTTCTTTAAGAAATTAAGTTTTGTGTCGCGTGGTAGAAAACCCGATTAAGAAATGGAAAAAAAAAATCCCCTTCCATAAGGTAAAGATTTTTCTTGAATTTACAACGAAATGTAACGCTGGTTCGGATATCTCCAAAGAAAAAAAAAAAAAAAAAAAAAGAAAGAAAAAGTCTGCTTGCTCTGCACATGCACACTCAACGCTAACAAAATGGCTGCATTATTGCTTACTACCGTAAAATTTTGATGGTCTCAGCTATTTTTTTTTAATATTTAAGGTGAAATATTTTTCTCCTGACTGGCGAACAAAGATCTGACGCCAATTGTATCTCATTGAATAAAACAAAACGATCAATTTTTACAACTTTTTTGTTTTCTTTTATTTAGCTTCTGTTATAATCAACAATGATACCGCGTCTGTAAATTTTGTTCTGTAAATTACGTCATAAGATTTTAGCGATATTCGATCACTAATCAAAATCAGTGTCAAGAAGAAGAATTTGAAATGGTATGACATCCTCACAAGAGGCAACAATTGGACTGATAAACGTCACTTAGTGGATTTTCCAATTCACTCAGTGATGTTGTCAGCCCAGGCACTAGCATTCAACCTAGACATAGAGAGGGAACTGGTCAGGTGAAACAGCGACCCTACGACCACACCTGGTCATACGACGGAAGTTGATAATAATGATGATAACCAGCCCGTGGCGCATGTTCTATCCAGATCACGTCAAAAACATAGAAACTTATCAACTTTTAACACTGGGTTCAAACTACAAAGTAAAATTAAATCATGCTTTTGTATTTAACTACGTTAAGTGTATTAAAAACAAACCCTGAAGAAACAGAAATGTAATTCTACAGAATGATACTGAGAATACCATGAACTGAAACACGTGAGCAAACGACGGAGTTTTAGAGAAAATGAAAACAAAAAGGATACTTAATCTTAACACCAGAAAGAGACAGTTGACATTTCTAGGACACATAAGGAAAGATCGATTAGAAAATTTGACACTCATAATACTTATTAAAGGCAAGAGGAGCAGATGAAAACAGTGCATAAACTACCTAACAAATTTATGTAAATAAATAGCAGAACAGGGTGTAGGAGAGATAGTAAAAATACAAAATTTACTAAGACCTACAAAAGACAGGAAGTTGTGAAGAGTCATGATCGCCAACCGCCTGAATTGACATGGCATATTAGAAGAGGAATACGAATTGTATTCTATGTAAAGCATATGCATGACTTTTAGTGCTCATGATTTTGTTATACAGATTTGGTGGAGAAAAATAACAAAAGACATAAAAAAAAATAATGCAAAAAAAAAAAAGTTCTCCCATTTCTAATCTACCTTGTCTCCCTTTTACTATCGGAATTACTGACTTCCCGACTACGCAATTCCCTAACAACAAGATTATATTACGAGGTTCGTTTTACGGAGTTTGTTTTCTGATTTCTCCTCGTAAAGTTCTATTTTCATGATATCATTATGAAATGTGAACCTGTAGATTTTACAAGTACAAAATGTATATCTTGAATAGGTAATTAGTTAACTTGGGTATAATCGGTACAAGACGAAATGGGAAATGGTGGTAGAAAAATTGTATTGCATCAGTCTTTAGATCAGAGAACGGCTTCCTATCTTCAAAATCAACATTGGAAATACTGGACTCGAACCCTGACCACTAACGAGAAACACGAAGTGAAGTTGTATGTATATCTACATATCTATTTATGCCACCAAAAATGTTTTCAACAAACTGATACAGAACGAAAGCAAAATGGACAACAGGTTGAAATTTTATGAAATCTTTATTCCATAAAACAGAATAAACAAAAAGTCTAGCTGTGTTTTCCACAGCTAGACGTTTTGTTTATTCTATTTTATGACTATTTTATTTTATTTTATTCTATGTTATGACTTTCATTGTCAGCAGAATTCAAATGTTTATATTGCTGAACAGAGAAAAGTATTACTTGCTGGCTGGAGATGAGCGCTTTTCGTTAGGTCTGTGACATTACTTATAGACGAATGAAAGATGAAAGACTTTCCTTTTTGAAATCACGGGGTTTTAAAGGCGCAAGTAAGCTGCTGCTGCTGCTATTACTACTACGTATTTACTCTACAGTCAATCTTGATGCTATGATGGCCTAAACCCATTACAGAAGCATACATATTTGTCAAGAAAATAAACATTCGAAATCCTGGTGTATATCTGGGTTAGAAAATATGTAACTATCTTAGCCACTAAGTAAGTCCCATACATGCGTGTGTGTGTATATGTGGTCCCTCGATCCAAGTTTAGTTAAGTAAAATTCAACGTCAAATAAGGAGAATGACAGTAGGAAAATCGTGTTGTACTAATCTTTAAAGTTTGAGGCCCAACCTGTGTTGGAGGTCAGAATGTGAAATCCCGGTTTATACCCGGGTTCGATCAGTAACGCCGCTAAGAAATGCGTAACCATCTTTACCTACCAAGCAGGTTCAACGAACAAAGGACTTTTCTAGTTTCTTTTTTTTTTTTTTTTTTTTTGCAAAGTGCGAGAAATTGATTTTATTTTTATTTAGACACCCAATATGAAAGCTCAGCGTTTTTCAAGTTAAATCTATTAGTCTGTCTCTGAACTCGCTCTTTTGAGAACTTTCGAACGAAGAATGAAGTTCCTCAGCCTGCACTGTGGCTGAGGTTGTTGCGAATTTTCAACCGGCGTCAAGATTTCCAATGTTGATTTTCTAAACAGCACATACTTTCAATTTCTATTTCCGCACGATTTGATCTCGTATTGGACAAAATTTAGCTAAAAAGGTAATGATTTTGAGAAGCACAATGAAATGTATATCTCATGCGGTTTTCGAATTGGGCGTCTCCGATCACGGTTCGAATCCATGTAAGGCCAATACATAGACTTTTGTAGATCACATATTCTCCGCCGCTGGGAAAGTTCTGTATAAATTCAATAAAGGTTATCACTTGTTAAATCAGCGATTCCCAGGTTGTATTGATGCGACAACGATAGAAGATTCGGATGTAGGTCACCACCGGCCACTTTCAAAGATGGGGAGAATTTTACCAGCTAATCTTTTTGTTCTTGAGCAATGCTATCGATTTATCTGTTGTATGCCACACGACTTAAAAAAGGAGAGCAATTCTGATTTCGCTATTTTTCCTAATACTTTCTTTTTGTGACTCAGTCATACGACATTATACCATTTTACTATAAGAATTCGTTGTTTTCTATTCTTTCTATTCACAGAACAGCATTTTCTATGGAATATTACCTTAAATACATAAAGAAGGTGCGCCATTTGAAGTGACAGATATATGACGATTAACGAGTTGGTGATACAATGATGAGTAAACGTGTGCTACATCGCCTGCTGTTGTCAATTTGGCTATTCTACGAGACTATTTTAAATTGTCTATGAAGCAAACACAGGTGCGTTTTGTGTACGAGTTTAAATCGGAACACGACGCAGCTGAAGTAAGGGATAATCAATTTAGATCAAGGAATTGCAAATAAGCAAATAGTACAATGTCGATTTCAGAAAATTCACTTCAATAATGATAATATTCAAAGACAAGAACGCTCATCAATGACGTAAAAGGCCGGAACTATTCGAGATTATTCAGGGAAATTTGGCGTTTCTCTTATGACAGTTTTTCGTCTTCTGGCTATGATAAGAAAAATGACAGGGAAAAATTGAACAATTGAATTTCCAATGAACAGACTAAAATCAAAAACAGTATCGTTTCAGGTTGTGTTCGTCACTGCTTGCTTACAGTAACAATACATACTTACCTGGCACAGGGATCCGTCCCTGTGCTGGTGGTATCACGGCTACGACCAGCTATGATTAGCTTATACCAGCTCTGACCAGCTTGGACCGTGGGGACCCGAGTGAAAACACTCGGGTCCCCACGTTAAAAAATGACCTTGTGTCACAAGCTGACTCAGTGGTGGTGGTGGCGGTGTGTGTGTGTGTGGGGGGGTCAAGTAAATATCTACTTGCAGTAACAAAGAAACATTTCTGTTCATAAAACTGGAATTTTTACAAACAATAGTAGACGTATATTTTGATTAACATAATATTGGCTTTAGTTAAAATAATGTTTTGATTGTGCTTTGTCAAAATCCAATATTTCATTTTGCACAACCTTAACATCTTCAGGATGATTATCAAAAACTGACCCCCAACGTTCGACTTGATAATTTAGGAAGAAAATTGATGTCGACTTATTTGACAAGTGAATTTTTAAAAGACGATCCAAACTGATGTGGTGAAATATTTTGAGCAGACCCCTTCACGAGGAACCGTTATTGACAACTGGTTTCTTAATCAAAGAACCTGCTTGGTGGGTAGTTGGCATTCATTCTATGCACGCAAGTATTTACTAAGGTCAGCATAATCTGGCACAACGCCACAAATATGGGGCAT